GCATATTTCAAAAATCTGCTTTGAAATAAATTTGACAACTTCTAAGAAGTACCTTGGAAGACAAATTAATGAAACAGACTCTGGAAGAAATATAAAATTTGAATAGCACCTATTAAAGAAAGAATATTCCTAGCCTGAAAACCTACCTATATGAAAACAACAGGCTCATATACATTTTAACTGATAAATTATATCAAACATTTAAAGCAAAAAAAAAGGAACAATTCTCCCCTCATTTTAGGAAATCAACATTGGGCAATACTACACCTGGACAAAGATAATAAAAGAAAAATGTATGAACATAGATAGAAATTTGTTTAACAAAACAAACTATTAGAAGACAGATATGGCAGTATGTAGAAAGTGGTTTTATTATAGGGATGGCAGTGTTGGTTCAGCATTGGAAGATGCACACCCATAAGTCATCATTTTAACAGAGGAAAGGAAAAAGCCATATGATCCTGACACTAGTTGGAGAAAAAGTACCAAACTAAATTCCACAGCTGTCCATGGTAAAAGCTATCAGGAGACTAGAATTAGAACAGAAACTTCTCAACAGATTAAAGACTTGTACTCCATATTTCCAGCAAAAACCCATTATATGAATGAACAAGTTACAATGCTTTCTCCTTAAGATGGGGAAGAAGGGCAGATATGCCTAATCTTCATCTGTCCATTAAACTTTGAAACATAGACCTAAAACAAAACAGTCCAGCAATAAAATGACAAAATTAGGATAGGTTTGGAAAGGTAGAAGCAAAATCTTCATATGTAGATGAAATGATCATCTACAAAGAAAATATTAAGAAATCTCTAGGAGCCCCTAGAACTTGTATCTGAATTTAGCAGGATTAGAAAACACAAGGTATATATAAAAATTCAAGTCTATGAATACTTGCAATAAAGAATTGGATGTTGAAATGTAAAAGTTATGTAGAAGTACAAAGACCTAGAAAATTAAAAGGAAAAAAAAAAGAACAGTGTTGGAAGATGTTTAGTACCTAACTGTAAGATTTCTTCTAAAGCTACAGTAATCAAGGCAGTGTTGGTGTAAGGAAAGACATGTAGATCATCGCAATAAAACAGGGAATCTCAAAATAGAACCACACATATATGGTCCACTGAGTTATGAAAGATTATTTAAAATTAACATTTTATAGAATATAAATTCAATTCAAGAGCCAAGGAAAAGATAGTGTTTTTAGCAAATAGCACTAGGACACCTGGTGTCCATATATAAAAAATTAACCTCAACCCTTTATTTCCATACATAAAAATAATTTCAAAGTGTCTATGAACCTAAATATGAAAGACTAAAACTATAAAATATAAGAAGAAATTATAAGGGAAAATGTTTATGAATTTAGGTTACGCAAGAAATTCCTAGGATACAAAGGACATGATATATAAAAGAAAAAAATTGATAAATGAGATTCCATCAAAATCTAGAACTTTAAATGACATCATTAAAATGAAAAACAGTCCTTAAATAGACCGTATTTACAATGCATACAACCTTTGACCTGAATATATAAAGAACTCTTACAGCTCATTAATAGGCAATCTGATTAAAAATTAGACACAAGAAGATGATAAATAGCCCGTACAGCACAAGGAAAGATGTGCAACACTAGAATCAGAAAAATACTAATCAGTACAATAAAAGATTGAATTATACACTCATTAGGGAGATGAAGTGAAAAGTTTTAAAAGCCTTGTTATGACTTTTTCTTTTTGTTGGATTCTCATCCTTTGCATTTAATTTGTCATGCCCAATGGATTCACTCTGCTTTGCTTCCTGGTGTTGTGATCCTCATTGTCTTTTCCTATGATATTGTCTAAAAATTTTGGAGTGCTGATTTGGTATTCATGAAGTCCCTAAGATTCTGTTTATCATGAAAGCATCTTATTTCTCCATCAATTCTTAAAGATAGTTTTGCAGGGTACATCAATCTGGGTTGGAGGCTGTTTTCCTTTAGGGCTTGAAATAAATCACTCCAAGCTCTTCTTGCCTTGAGTGTTTGCAATGAGAACTCTGATGTGATTCTGATGGGTTTTCCTTTGTATGTGATTTGCCTCTTTTCTCTCACTCCTTGTAGAATTTTGTTCTTTTGTTGGGTTTCTGAAATCCTAACTATTATATGCCTATGTGTAGATTTTTTTGATCAAGGCTAATTGGAGTCCTATATGCCTC